CACTTGATGTTTCAGGAAGTGTTAATCCCTGAAGGTTGGGGGATGAGGGCGGGGGGTAGGAAAGGAGTGGGTGGGGGGACATGTTTCTTGAGCCTGGGGAAGGTACCCTTTAGAGCCCTCTGCCTGTCTACGCTGGAGTTGGGGTTTGTTGTGGAGCTGGGGCTTTCTTTGAGTCATGGAAAGAAGGGACCCTTACCCTCTGTACTGCATTTGATGAAAGTTCCTATGGCCGTGAGGGATGAAGAGCGGAAAAGTTCGCTTGAGCCTTTGATTTCAGGCTGATTAACCTAGGCGACGGGATGACAAAAACTAGAGAATTCTGAAATTGGTTTGTAGAAGATACAGAATGCAGGAGATGGGTAGAAGGATAAAAATATATAGCTGGGGGCCTGGGTTGCTTCTTTCCATCCAATTTTTCTTGAAATCAGGCATCTCAGGTTCTGTAGCCAGCACCCAGACTTACCTTTCCTTAGGTGACAGAAGTTGATGATTTCTTTAAGGGGAGAGATTTAGTTAATTTCCACATCAAATAACTCTAAGAATAAATTCATGCTTCTGTGCATATGGGTGGAGGGAATTTTTAAACTTTTTGTGGAGCTTAAAATTAGCCCAGAATAGGAAAGGCTGAAAAGCCATCCAACTCAGCCCTGGTACAGAGCCCCCCCAAAAAAGAAATAAAAATAAACCCTGATAGTCCATGAAGGAAAGCTGTAAACTCTATAAACATGTTTTCCACTTCATATTTTTTAAATGTCGCCTAAATTTAGGAGCTGTGTTCTTCCACAATTAGAATACTACTTGCAGGACCACTCAGTCCCAGCTTATGAAGCCCAAGACCAGTGAGGAGGGGGCTGTGGATTGTTGCTTCTGCCCCTCCACCCCCACCCTTACCCCTTTTTAGAGCGAGTGTGTATGAGAGAAGATATTAAAGAGGTATCTGTTGTTTGGCAATTTTGCTAAGTCTGTCTTCATTACTTCGACGCTGTGCATTTGCTAATTTGGAGCCCCGGCCATTGACAAGCTTGCTCCATACACCTGCAAGCAATTTGCCGGCTCCGGTACCGGAGAATTGCAGAGATGGCAGCTCGCACCTATTTGATTTTTTTTTCCTTTTCTCAATGCACAGCAAATTTGGCTTTCAGTGCGTTATCTCTTTTGTTAATGCAAAAAGATTCCCTGGGCGAAAAAATTGCTCATAATTACCAGAGAGATGGGGAAACTGCATTAGAATAAATAAACCTGAAATTACTGTAATTATGTTGTGTTTGATGGCCCGGCTTGTAATCAAGAAGAGAATACAGTGAAATGATGCTGACCCTCTTGGGTTTGCAGCTGTATGCGCACTTTGGGGTCTTTTTTTTGCAGAAAAGAGTCATTTTGATAATCATTAAGCTGTGTGTAACCTATTTCAGAAGTGTTTTAAAATGAGGTTCACATTTTTTGAACAAGGGGGAAAAAAATCCCAAAATTACATTTTGCCATTACAGGCTCATACATAAGGAAAGGTTGTGTTTTCTAAGTGACAATTGTTAAGACATAATATTCGAAATCAGTGTTTAATCATTATAATGAGGTATTGTTAAAATATAACCACCTTTAGATTATTCATAGTTTAATTAATATACTCATTATGAAAATCTTTGAATCAGATATTTGATGAACTACTTGTCAGTAACAAGGCAGCATTAATTAGGCCTATATTGAGATTAACATTTTTTAAAAAGTACGACCGCTTATAATTATAATAGAGCCTAACTAAAAACCGCCTTCATTGAGCTAAAACTAATAATTTCTCTATTTGAACTGTTAGCAAGAGATTATTAAATTAGTATAAGCTAATATCTCAAAGTATTAAAATCCGCTTGACCAAATAGATTTTGCCTGTGGCTTCAGGCATTGGGCCCTGACTGCCGTCTGGGGAACCAGAGTCAGATGCGTGAGAGAAAGCTGCCAGAATCTACCCGTCAGCAAAGTCACATTTCGCGGGGTAACCAAATCCAGGAAGGTCCCTGCTCCCGTGCCAGAGCCCAGCCTGGGCAATGAGTTGCAGCTCATTGCAACTCATCAAAGGGGTTGCAGCTTCAAGGCCCGTCCGCGCCCGCATCCTTTCTGAGGTCTCATCTCTCCCATTAGTGCTTCAGGTTCTGAGGGCCTGCGGGAGAAGAAAAGCCCCAACCCCAGGCCCTGCTTTCTCCATACCGTCTCATCCCGCCACTTCCCCTCCCTTTCCCAAAGGGCGTCGGAAGAGCCTGGCATATCTGATCTTTCACCAGCACCAATTGAAAAATGGGTGCTTGTCACAACACAGATCACTGCCTTCTCCGCTCCGCTCTCCAGAGCGCTCTGCAAAGGGCCCACCCAAAGGCGGAGGGCCAGCCCCCCGCGGGATGCAGTGTCAGAAGGCTGGTGCGAGAGAATTGGGAGTAGGTGAGAGCAGCTGGCGGGGCCCGCAACTTTGCCGAGCTTCCTCCGCTCAGCTACGGGACCTGGAGTTGAGACTAAGCTGAGGAGCCGGGCGGAGGAGAGTATTAGGCTGGTTCTAGCTGCTCCGAAGTCACGCTCTTTTGGAGCGAACGGATCTGAGCGGTCCACTCAGGTCCTTAATGGCCTGGGGACTCGACTCAGCCAGTTCTCTGGTTCCAACGAGTCAGCAGAGCCCACCTGCCCCTCCGCACCTCCATTTCTCCCAAGCGCAGAGAAAAGTCCGGGATCATTAGGCGGGAACTGGCCTCTCCTTGTGTATAGGGCCAAGTGGGTGGGAGTGGCTGTGGAAGGGCCAGAGTGGCGCCTTGGGACTGTCCCCTGAAGCTCACTGATTGATTGGAGGGTAGCTTGGCAGACGTATCCTTCCGGCCCCTTTCCGGCGTCTGGCCGCGTCTTTTCCTCGTCGGGATCCAGCACCCTCGGGGCAAGCAAAAGCCAGGAGGCCAGATCCCCGCGGAGGCGAGGGGGCCAAGGCGGGTGTCTCTGCGTCCAAGCTTCTAGGCCTCCCGCGAGGTGGCTGGGCTTGGGGGGTACCCAGATCTCACCCGCCGGCTGCCTTTGAGCTCTGCTTTGATCTCCTCTCAGCCGGCCTTCAGTCTCTTTGGTTCCTGAGCCCTGGCTCTGCCTTGCCGCACCTGTTCCTGATCCTCCTTCCCAGGGACCGTGTCCACTACCCTTCTAACCCAGGTAGGGATGAGACCCCTAGGCGGAGAGGCAAGGCATGAGGAACGGTCCCAGAGGGGCGCCCTGCGGGCTTTAGCCCCTTATCCTGGTATGTCTGGAGCCAGGAGTCGCTGCCCCTACATTATGTATCCCCAGACGTGGGAGTCTGGCCGGCCCCCAGCACCCCCTTGACACAGCACACTAGACAGCAGCTCTTTCTCGAAACCATAATTTTACTGTCTCAAAGAAACTTTACAACTTATTTACAAAGTCCTTTCCCCCCCCCAAGATACAAAGCAATAAGTTAACATTCTCAATATAAAACTAAACTTTGACATAGAGAACACAAAACACGGTTGATTTCAATTGATCACATTTTCCAAATTTCACAAGTAAAATGTCAAGATTCTCATTTCACAAAGCATCAGGTTTTACAGCCACACACAACGGAACGGGAAAGAAAGCTAAGCTTGTGCAACATGTTTACAGAACAATAATAATAACAATAATAATTAATAACAATAATACTATGTACAGCGATTAGATCCTGCACTGGAGACGATGCGTTCAGGGTGGTGACTGGCATTATTCTGGGGTCCAGCCTCTGGGGATTATTGTAAAGCTGTTTTTGTCTTACTATAAAGCCCACTACTATAGGGCACTAGCTCACGCCTGCCTGTTTTCTTCTCACCACTGCCCTTCGGTCCTCTCTTTCTCCTGAGGAGGGAATTCAGATTTTCTTTCTTGTCCAGGCAAGGAGGCTAAGCGTTCTTTTCAAGATGAGAAATTGTGTTGACTTCATTTCTTTCTTCTTAAAATAACACAGGACATGTAAAAAAAAATGCAAGTAATTCGGCTCCAACCTCTACTAGCGAAGTACAAAAGTTATTGTATAAGTTAAAAATCACCATGTCCTCCTTATTCGTTTTTTCGGTGCGTTTAAAGTAATCGGTACATATGGACCGTACGCTCCTCGTGCCCTACAGACTCGTGAACTGGCCAATATTCAGCCTCAGGCGAAGTCCATTTCTCAATAAATAAAAACCCCTCCCTCCAATTTCCCCCAGTTCCCCGAACGAGCTACACAGATGTTGAGGCAGGCCCAGGAGAAGGTCGGAAAGGACAAAACATCCCAGTATCCGGAAACGGGCGGCTTGGTGGACCGCGCCTCCTCGGACCTGGTGACTTTTTCCAGAGGCTGCAGAATGAGGACAGCGGACAGACGAGGACCTCGACTTCGTCAGCGCACAAATACAGAGCGAAAGGAGACAAGAGACGGAAAGGACAGAAAAAAGCTTTTGCTTTTTCTACATTGCTTTTGTTTTTTCCTGATAGTCCACACAGCTGAGGGTCTCGGGCCGGGTTAATCGGGCTCGTCTTGTGGCAACGGCTGTCTCGGGTGGCTGTGCCTGAGCTCCAAGGCCGCTATCTGCTGTCACCTCGCCGCTCAGGCCGGGGTTCGGGCGAGGGTGTGGGCGCCGGGGAAGACGCGGGTTGAGACCACGCGGGGCTCCGAGGAGGATGCGGCGGGAGTCCCACCTTCACTGTTCCTTCTTCTTTCCCTCTGGGCCTTTCTCCGGGTCCAGGGCACGCGGATGGGGTGGATGGACCGGGAGGCGGAGGCGCTCGGGCCAGGGGAAACAGGAAGGAGGCTGGTGGGTGCGGGTGGGCAACCTTACATGAGCTGGGGTTGCTGCATAGCTTCTTGGTGCGCCGAGGGGTACCACGATGTGTAGCTGGGGATGTAGGAGCCTCCGCTGCCGCCTGAGCCCTTCCCGGATGAGGAGTTGGGGTTCCAGCCGGGTGGCACGGGTGGGGAGCCGGCAGACAGTGCCCGGCCGTTGGCCAGCGCGTTACCCTCCAGAGCCGCCCCACCCTGCTTCATCAGCTTCTTGAACTTGGAGCGCTTGTTCTGGAACCAGATTTTGACCTGCAAGAGCGGACAACAATGTGACCCGAGCTAGGTACATTGTGCCTATAGTGGTTGTGGGGGAGATAAGGTGGCTGTGGGACAGCTAAAGAGTATATCCTCCCTGCTGTCCTACGGGACCCGGCAGCTCCCTGCTGGGAGAGCAGAGCACCACCAGCACCACCACCTCCAATTAAGAAGCAAAGGCTGGGAAGCTGCCGCCTGAGGCCGGCAGGGGCAGCTCTCGCAGAACCAGGGGGCGTGGTAGAGAGGGGTGAGCCGGAATACTAGGCCTTCTCCTGCCAGGGACTCAGCCCAACCCTGGCAATCGTCTGGAAAAGACACAGCGCCTGCACAATATACAGTCCTCAATTCCAATATGAACATCAATAAAATAATCGAATGGAGGAAAGGAGGAAATAAATTTGCAGTGCGACCCGCCCTCTCTTTGAGCCATCCTTTCTGCCCTTGAGTGAATTGGGGGCTGACTGAGAAGGCCAGAGTTTTGTTCAACTTTTCATTTGGACTTATATCAACCTTTCCTTAGCGTCTGTGTGTTCTCCCCAGCTCTGCTCCAAATCCTGGCCCGGAGGTTGGAAACCCGCTCCAATCATCATCAGAACGCCCATGAGCTCGCCGGAGTCTTAGAAAACTCCTGGAAGAAAGGTCCTGTTTCTCCTCCAGGGTTTGAGACTTGGGAGGTGAGAGGGCAGAGGAAAGGACCTCCTCCCCGGAGGAGGAGGGAGACAGCGGCTTGGACCCAGGCCTCGAGTGATTAGCCACACACTTTAAAGGCAAAGAAGGGATTAAGCCCCGTGTCTATTGTTCCAGTTGTTCGGGCACGTGTGACCTCACAGTCCCCAAACAAAACGTCTAGGGAAATCCTCCCTGAGCCCTAATCAGATTGGGGGTGGGGGGGAGGGCAGTGCGGAGTACTGAGTGCAGCGACACAGCCAGGTCAGAGAGAACAAGGGTGGAAGGAGAGACGCTGTGAGAGCCATCGGTGGTGGGGTCTCTCT